GTCTCCTGCGTCGCTTCCATATATCTGGTGGCAGTGGTAGGGGATGCCAGCGCAATGGTACTGCTTCCAGGTAGGGAGGCAGAAAACCCTGGCTATCTTTACCAAACCAAACTGAAACTTTGGTGGATAAGCCGATTTCCAATAAAGTCTGGCGATCATACGACAGTGTTGAACTGACATGTTGCGCAACATTAGCTAAAAACAATAAAATCAAACAAATAAAAAGGAGCGGTTGACGGCATGCCAAACACACAGACGCCATCTTGGTTTATGATGGGGTCGCCTCTATAAAGCTGGCTGTAACTAACAAAGGGGTGAAGATTTTGCAGAGGGACATCAGCCTCGTCTTCCCTTCTAGAAGTGCATGCTTAAATGAAGATGAATAAAGATGAATAAAGATTTTGTGAAATGACTACTGAGTTCCGGTGCCGTCTCTGGATGCTCGGGGAATAAAAAAGAACCGGGGTAGAACTGATTTCGCAACAGAAGAATGGGTTTTCCTGCTATTTTCATTATGTCACCAGTGTTTAGTACTGCACCGTGTTTTAGCCATTGTTTTTGTTTTTTTGGTGGTGCTGCTTTTTGTTCGTCCTGCAGTACAGACAGTGGAATGGTGTGATTTTCATGAGTTGTTAGTGAGACTGTGGTTGCTCTTGCCGCTGCTTTTGCAGCTTTGTCAGCAAAATTGTTTCCCTTTGTAATTTCAGAGTCATCCTTCTGATGTGCTGCACATTTGCAAATTACTAGATGTCGCGGCAGTTGTACTGTTTTTAACAGTTGCTTCAGTAGATCTGCATGCTGAACTGGGTTTCCAGAGGAGGTCACCATTCCTCTGTTATCCCATATTTTTGATGAACTGCTGCAAATACATACTGGCTGTCTGTGTGGATGTTAATGTCCTGTCCTTCATGTATTTCACATGCTCTGATTACAGCAGTTAGTTCTGCACTCTGAGCTGAATGTGTGTGTGGCAAGGCTCTTGCTTCCACTATAGTGTCTATTGTGGTTACTGCATATCCTACACAGTTACGCCCTAGTGCATTTTTTGATGCTGAACCATCAACAAAGATGTCAGTGAAACTTTCTTGTGGTGTACTGTAAATGTCAGCACGTGGTTTAGTTTCCTCTTCTAATTTTTCCACGCAGCAATGTGCTTTTCCCTCCGTGGGCGTTGGCAACAATGTGCTAGGATTTAAATGTCCACATCTCACTATGTTGATGTGGGACTGTGAAAACAGTATGCCAACATAGGAGAGTTGTCTCGCGTGTGTTAAGAAAGGCAAATGTACTTGTAGCAGTATAGAAGTTACTGCATGTGGTACTCTAACAGTCAGAGTGTGTCCTAAAACTATGTCAGCAGATTTTTGCACTGCCTCTGCAGCTGCTGCACATGCTTGTACACAGGTGGGCATTCCTGAGGCCACTGAATCGAGTTTGCTTGAATAGAAAGCTAGTGGCCTTTGTTTTTCTCCAAATGATTGTGTTAATACTGCTTTCATGTGTCCCTGTGTTCCGTCTACATTTAAGTAGAATGGCTTGTCATAATCTAGTAATGCAAGCACAACGTTAGTTTGGAGCATGAGTTTTAGTTTAGTAAATGCTCCTTCTGCTTCTGGTGTCCAATGTATTTTATCTTTTAAAGCAGGATCTTTTCCATAGATTAGGTTTTGCAGTGGTTGTACCCACGCTCCATATTCTGGAATCCATGCCCTGCATGTAAGGAGCACAGAGACGTCCTAGCAGCTGACCTCAGGTCAGTTTAATGACTGTGAGCAGCAGCTGTGTTATTGTCACTGTGACAGGGAGACACTCTCAGACACAGCGCTCATGTCAGCTTGTTCTCATGCAGGAGGATCAGGAGCTCCATGTTTGTCTTTCTGTTTGAATCATGATGTGTTTGTGCCATCAGAGTCTTCGGGGGATCTGTTGCTCAAACGATGTGACTCTGATAAGGGCGATAGTGTTTCTGGTTCGGGAGTTGAAGGGCCAGGATCGGTTCCCCGGCGTGGCAGCACTTCCAATTTTTCTTACTTAATTTTCTAATCACATATTGTCAACACGTGAACATTCCCACGTATGTTTTGGCTTCTCAGTCGTATGCTTTAAAAATCCCATTTTGCCCTCAGCTTTAGCCTTGCCTAGTGGCTAGTGTTTCCGGTTTGAGAGCTTTGAAGTGGCCCAAAAGGACTGGATTGGTTTTAATGTAGTTACAGTAACACAGAGTTATAAGATACTTGAAAAAACGGGTCATTATTAAATTTGATATATAACCCTTTTCTAAATCATGTTCAGTAAAGGCTATTTACCAATATGCTGGCAGCTCTGGATGCTGACGTCAGTGTATCTGTGGAAGCTCACAGCGTGTCTGTCATTCAATATTGTGTATATATTGTATCTATGCAAAGATGAACAGACTGTGTGTTCACTGGTCTCTGTGCTGCAGCTCTGATGTCATCATCACTCCCTCCTCCACCCTCAGCAGTCCCAGCATGCTGCTGTGGTGCACCCCACCCTCACTCTACACCTGAGCCATAGACCACACCCTCCACCTCAATATACACCACAGTTTTCTCTGCTATGGAAATGAGATCAGGAGGAAATCATTATTATTATTATTTCATAAATGCTTACATTAATGTGGGCTTATTTGTTTCCATATTAGAAATATTAGTTGAGTGTTTTTAGTATAAAATGGTGAAAGATGAGTAACTGGGACAGTTTGGTGTGGTTTCTTCTGTTCCTGTCAGAAATAAGAGTCTGGCAGCACTTTGCTCTCCTTCCACATGTTTAAGGAGGAAGTTAAGAAGAGTGAGTGAGTCGTCTTCCTCTGTGGGCCCAACATCAGGCAGCAGCCACGTATTTTTAAAAACCCAGCACACTGGTTAGAACTGCATTCAAAACTATTGAGCCAATATTTTCAGCTTATATGGCTGAAACATTTTCAAATGATGAGCTTCCAACAATGAGTGAAACAGTAAGAGCATGTGGAGAGTTTGGAAACATCCCATTAAGAAAGAGAAATCAAACATTTGGATTCATTTTAATGAGCTCAGACTTGTTGAAAATGCAGAGGAGCTGGTTGTGAACTGAGCTTCAGAGAAACACAACATACTGATATTCACTGTGAAGCTTTGAGTGGAAAAAGACAGAAAAACAACATGTGGATCCTGGAATAATGGGAGCTTCCATCTTTAAAGGACTGAAGAGGAAGAAGTTTACAAGGAATCATTTAGAACAGTTTCAAACATCAACTGATTGAATCCATGAATCTGAAAACGTGTTTGTGAGTGAAAGAGACAGACATGTACAGACTGAACTATCTGTTCAACAGTCAGAGTGTTTCTCTAACAGGAGACACTCTTTACACTCCACTCAGCACAGGGACACTGAGGACCAGGAGACCA